CTACACTGAACACAAACTTATAATCTGTTAGAAAACTACACTCTGAACACAAACTTATAATCTGTTAGAAAACTACACTCTGAACACAAACTTATAATCTGTTAGAAAACTACACTCTGACACACAAACTTATAATCTGTTAGAAAACTACACTCTGAACACACAAACTTATAATCTGTTAGAAAACTACACTCTGAACACACAAATTTATAATCTGTCAGATTATAGACACAACGTTTCTGGTGGCTCAGAGACAAGTGTGGAGGACGAGGTTTGTTCACTCAGGACAGGAGCTGCAGGCTGACCGCTGTTAATCCTGCAGCTTCACCGACGTCACAAAGCTCCGCCCTGCTCTGCTCTGATTGGATAAAGCTGTGGGGTTCGTTTGATTTGTTGAAAGCAGCGTCTGTTTAAACCTGTGTCAGACTGGGCAGCTTTGATGAGACCGCAGCAGAAAACAAGCAGGTTCTCCAATATGAGCAAAATGARGTCAGTCATGAAATTAGCATGTTATGATATACTTTATTTTCCTGGGCAAGTTTTTTTTTACCGGTCTTATCGTGAATGATATGATACGGCCTGGCCCTGCTGTCACCTTCCCTTGTTTTTGTAGCACACTGAAGACATTTGGTTTAAGATCAAATGTTGAGCTTAACTTCAGCTTCACAACTCTTAGGCTTTAACATCTACATGCAGAAATAACAACTCCAAACTTTCCACACTTTGTTTGAACCCACCAGTTTTTCAAATAAGCTAAACTATTGGAACATGTGACTGACAYGTGTTTTTTATTGACCAGGTGTTGCCTTTAAGGATGATTGTTCAAACATTAAATAGCTCTGCATGACTAGTCTTCTTTTTAACCTGGTTTTAAACCTATAAATGAAGTTTTTTTGTTAAAGAGGATAAATCCACATGAAGACCAGTGAGCTGTGGGCAAAAATCTGAGACAAGAAGGAAAATCAATCAGAGCCATTGGATAAACATTGGGCGTAGCAAGCACAACATTTAGGAATGTCCTGAATAAAGAAACTGTTGGTGTACTGGACAACAGACGTCCAACATGTCCGCCAAGGTAAAAAACAGTAGTTGTTGACAGGAATGTTGTGAGAGCTGTAAAAAAAGTGATGGAAAGGCTGAAGTGTGAATAAAGAAAGGAAGTGCTGATTGAAACACAGTCTCCTCTGTGAAGCATGGTGCAGGTGGTGTCATGGCTGCTTCTGGAACAGGCTCGTTAATATTTATTAATGATGGAGCTGATGATGGCTGCAGCAGAATGAATTCTGAGGTGTACAGAAACATTTTGTCTGACAATTTACAGAGAAATGAATCAAAACTAATCATGAGGATTTTATCATGCAGCAGGACAATGAGCCAAAACTCTCTGCCAACAAAACAAAGGACTTTATCAGCAGATAAAAGAGGAAGGTTTTAGATTGGCCTAGTCAGTTACCTGATCTCAACCCTGTACAGCATTTCACCTCCTGAAGAGAAAACTGAAGGGAGAAACATCCTGAAACAAACAAGAATATTAAATATATTAAATATGAATTGCATTTTTCGTTCCATTATTTTTGCTCACCTAAAAATGTTGTGCTGATTACAAAAAGCTGTTTAACACTTCTACATGTAAATACTAGAAAATAAAAACTGACGTTCAGAACTCGTCTCATGCTCATCTTTTGATCTGAAACACAAATGTCTTCACCGAACAACAAAAACAAGGGAATGTGACGTGCTGTTCCTGTACTTTTAGAGGGGACTCTAAGTGAGCGCAGCAAACTTTGAAAACTGAACCAGAAGTGTTACAGTGCTACTACTGCCCAAACTTCCAACAAACATCAACTTTCTTTAGAAACCCAACAATAATGTGGGACTTTATTTTGTAATCTAAAGACCCTATCACACATTATAGATAAATTATACTGACTTAGGAAGATTTTGTTAAGAATAATTTACTCATACAGTACAGGTTATATATAGGTTTTGATCAAATCATTACTATTGCAGTATGGATACGTCTAAAAGAGCCTCTGTGTATATTTTTATTATTCTCTATTCAGCATAATCTTCAGTGGTGGACAAAATTTTAATAAGGTGGTATAAGTTCTCTAAAGTGTGTTACAGGGCCTTAAGATTTTGGAGCACAGAAACTAGACTCTAAATTTGAAAGGAAAACTATTAGCTGTATTAATAAATATTTAATATTTAAACACTTGGTAAAATTTAAAGAAACCTGTAGAAAATGAACACATTTCATAGAGCCTCACAATATTGTGGAAGTAGTAGTAGTATTAATATAGACTTACATCAAACTATTAATAACTAAAGGTCTGATATTTGCAACAAAGTGCATTCTTATTAAAATGTTCCACAAGTTCAGCCAGTTTTGTTATTGGTTGTATGTTTTTTGTTGAATGGTTTTCTGTTTTCTTAATGCTTGTCTTTTGTTTTTGTTCATGCAGACGACGAGGTCGACTTGCAACAGACCACAGCAGGGGCTGAAGAAGGAAACTCAGGTGATGCAACACCTCCACCTAAGCAGAAAGGCAAGTTTTCCAAAATGGGAAAATTCTTTAAGAAGCCCTGGAAGTGGAAAAAGAAGAAACCAAGTGACAAGTTTACAGAAACATCTAAAGGTATGCTTTGTACAATTTATTTTCTTTTTACATGTTGTGTGCGTAATATTTTCCTTGATTAATGTCCATCTTCCCTTCCTCAGCTTTAGAAAGAAAGATTTCTGTTAGGAAATCTCGCCAAGAGCTTATTGATAAAGGGGTTTTGCAGGAAATCCCAGAAAATGGTAGGTAAAGTTCATTTTGTTCATCAATATCTTAAAGATAGAAATTACATTAGTTCTTTTTAATTATGCACATATGTACTTCTCCACATGACTAGAAAACACTGATGTGAACCATTCCAAACCCCCACCAGTAAAAAATGGACATCCTGTGTCAATGGACATGGACAGAATGTCTCAAAGGGAGACTGACATCAAGGAGAGCCTTAAGGTGCCCCAGGGAGATGAACGGCGAAGTAGGTTACCATCAGATGCTTCTCGAACTGGCAGGGCACCTCTAGATGTGGACTATCATGCAGGACTCTCTGTGGATGTGGACAGGAGACATCGTCTTTCATCAGATGCTGAGAAGAAAGGCGGATCTCTTCCTCGAGGATTGCTGCAAGACGATAAATACCGCAGAGACGACAGGAGAGAAGTCAGAGAGAGAAGAGATGAACGGACAGACAGAGACATTCGAGAAAAGAAAGACCGGGATGAGAGGGAGAGGAGGGATAGGGATGAAAGAGAACGAAGAGATCGTGAGGAAAGGGAGAAAAAAGATCGAGAACGAGAAGATCGAGAACGACGAGATCGAGATGAGAAGGAGAGGAGGACTCGAGAGGAAAGGGAAAAGAGGGATCGAGAAGAGAAGGAGAAGAAGGATCGAGAACGCGATGAAAGAGAGCGTAGGGATCGGGAGGAGAGGGAGAAGAAGGATKGAGATGAGAAGGAGAGGAGGATTCGAGAGGAAAGAGAAAAGAGGGATAGAGAGGAGAGAGATAGGGATAGAGAACAAAGAGATCGAAGGGTTCACGATGAGAAGGAGAGAAGGGATCGGGATGAAAGGGAAAGGAAAGARCGTGATCGGGATGAAAGGGAAAGGAAAGACCGTGATCGGGATGAAAGGGAAAGGAAAGACCGTGATCGGGATGAAAGYGAACGGCGAAATTGGGATGAAAGAGAACGAAGAGATCGCGAGGAGAGGGAAAGGAAGGATCGGGATGAAAAAGAATGGAGGGATCGAATTGAGAGGGAAAGGAAAGATCGAGATCGGAATGAAAAAGAACGGAGGGATCGAGATGAAAGGGAAAGGAAGGATCGAGATCGCGATGAAAAAGAATGGAGGGATCGGATTGAGAGGGAAAGGAAGGATCGGGATGAAAAAGAACGGAGGGATCGAAATGAGAGGGAAAGGAAGGATCGAGACCGGGATGAAAAAGAACAGAGGGATCGAATTGAGAGGGAAAGGAAGGATCAAATCCATGACGAAAAACAACAAAGGGATCAGGACAAAAGAGAACGAAGGGATCGAGATGAGAGGGAAAGGGGAAAGGATGAAAGAGAATATGAAAAGAGAGGGAGACCAGTGCCTCAGCTGTCTTGGGATGACTCGCACGCTAAAGCTAGGACCAACCAGGACCTACCTAAAATGGACCTGCAACCTCACCTACAGAGGAGTTCCTCTGCTGAAGTCCGAAGGACCACACTGCCCAGATATGACAAACCTGCAGAATTTCGAAGTCGCATAGGTAAGATATTTCTCTTGATGAAATAGATAACGTTGCCCTATGTCATTTACCTCCTGTAGTTCTTTAAACACTTGTCTCTTCTACCAAAATTAGGGTAACCTTTTTTCTGTCATGTRCTCATTGCTGAACATTCTTCTTTGGTAGCATAAAATGTTTAAAGGTGCAGTAGGTAACATAAAAAGCGTATTTGTTGGTGCTGATGGTGAATGAACAACCCAAAGTTACAGGAGAACTGCCAATTTTTGAGAGTTCTGAATGTTCCATGGCCGTTTATTATTGGTGGCTCTGCTGTTCAGTCTGTGTTCATAGGAGGCTCCGCTGTAGGGGGTGGG